GTATATAGTTGTGTCCCCGGCCGGCGAAGGATATAACGATAAGTTTATTGCAAGCAATGTGTAAATCAGTAACAAAAAAGAATAATAATAAGGGTCCCAACACTGACCTTGAGGAACCCCATTTTAAATAAATTCACAATCTGAGTCGAAATCTTTAATACTTGTGTATTGTTTTCTGTTATGCATAATTATATGATTTATCCAACTAAAGGCAGCGCCCCTCATCCATATGCAGGTATTTTTTAAGAAGCTGACGGTCAATAACATCGAATGCTTGCAATAAAGTAAGAAAGATACTAAGAAGATGTTTTTATTTTCTAAAGATTCAAGAATTGTGCTGACTAATTCAGTTACGGCGTGCTGTATGTTATGAGCTATTGGAGGTGAACATATTCATATTTATTTAGTGGGTATATATGAATACATTTTGATTTATTGAACTTAAGACAGCTAAAATGTGAACAGAGCCTACAGTAGACGAAAGCTTTGAAAGTCTTTATAGAAACCAGGGAACAGTTAAATTACTGTTAATTAATTTAACTGTTCCCTGATACTAATACAGCGTTTTACGCAACTCAAAGAAGGGTCTTTAGGACTGTAATAGAATGTTTTAACTGGCAAAGATAGTTTTTGGAGATTTTTCAGACTAAAATAACACCCTGAGTCACCCACCAACAGCACTTCTTTTCGGCGCAAAGTGTTTCAAGAAAGCTAAGATATATCCCCGAGTTTGTACGATGGGCAAATAGGCAGCATATCGAATGCACTTGAAGAGGATTATGAAGATATGAAGATTTTGTTTAGTGGGTCAGTTTAAAATGTTGCTTAAAATACTGTAGTATTATCTCATTTAGTTCTTTTAAATGAAGAATTCAACATATGTAATTTATTTTTAATATTATTTTTTTTTTTTTACTTTTTGGTGGACAGTACATCTTTAGGCTAATGTAGGATAAATTGAATTATTGTTAGGCTACCATCATTAACATCATCATTATTCTTTATAATATCTGTTTCTTCCTTATTATTTGTGTTAACATATCCAATAGGTACATTTGCTAATTTGCAAATTACTATATTGCGACTACTGAACTGACAGGAGTACCTACAATATTTAGCTTTTGTGCCACAGCGATTTCTTTACAAATTTTTTCAAAAGTGCCGTTCCAATGGCAAATTTACTATCGAGTTTACCGCCCACCCTCTGCCTACTACAGAACGAATTCTATCATTATAGCTACTGTATTCAGTTTTCATATACTTAAGCTACTACTACTCTTCATCTCTATTTCAAGTGACTTTATGTTTATAATTGTTTGTTTTATTACGTAAGCTATAGGTAAAAGGAAGGTCGAAACCCAAAACACTGGGACCACAGGCCGGAGTGCCCGTCTCTCTTTCCTTGGCGTTTGGGCCAGACTGTGCAAGGCGCGGGAGGGAGGGGGAAGTCGCCACTACCTTCCAAGCCTATTCCGGTACTTATTTATAGACCTACTCCTGGGTGGAGAGAGACAAACGTACATAAACTGTCTTGCCTGAGGACAGCGAGGGTTTCGAACCCCCAACCTCAATGTTGAGAGTTCGAGCCACAACCGTTGCGCCAACCGCTTCTACGTAAACTGTTCTCAAATAAACACAAAAACCAGCGATACCTTTTGGGTATTATTTTCAATAGAAAACCCGATTGCTCTATGCAAGGAAAGGGCCAATGAGCATAACGCGAGGAAACATCGAAATCGAGGTATTTCTTATTAATTTTCAAAATACTGAATCTCCACTATCAACTGTTTTTATTCAGTATTTTACAATTCTGTATCCTCTCTCCCTTATTATTTTATTTCTTATTTTAAATATAGGTATTGCACACTATATAGGATTTGTACAAGAATGAACTGAACTTAGGAAATAGCGTACTCTACTTATCACTATTTAAAGCTGTTCGCATAGCCCATTCAAACGTGTTCAACTTCACAGAGAGCGATTTAAGGGTTTATCCAGATACCTGACAGCGACTCAATTTGATCGGAAGGTAATAATCTATTTAAATTATTTAAATGAGAATTCAAAATTTGTTACGGATTTTTTTTTTTTTTTTTAAACAGTACGTCTTTATAGCCGTAAAATTACTAAATCAAACTAAAGCATCTATAACATCTAGATTTTGTGGTAGTACACAGCAAATTATTGCATGTTTTTTCTCATATCTTTAAGTAAGTATTTCATTATGGAGAACCTCTAGACTGATATTTTCGTTATAACTTTTAGGTAATCCTGCCTCATTGATTTACTACTGTTCTGTTATTTTTTTAATTTTATTTATTTTTTGTTTTATTTTCTGTAAAAAGGTGAAATAAATGATATGATGTAATATGATTATCTTACTTACTTTTCTTTTCCTTTTTTATGTATTTTCTTTCTTTCTTTTCTTTTCTTTCATACCTAACTCTCTTATACTTTACTTCTCTGTAATTAATGTCTTTTTTTACCCTCTCGTTTTTCCTTTTCCTTCATTTGTCTTTCTATTTTTTTTAAATTTCTTTCCTTTCTTTCTCTTTTTTTCCATTTTAATATAATTATTTTCTCTTTCTTGCCTTTCATATTTCCTTCCGTACCTTTCACATTTCTTATTCTTTCCTTTCTTTTCCTTTAACATTTCCTTTTCTTTTCCCTTTCATTTTCCTTCTATATCTTTCCATATCTTGCCTTTCTTTTCGTTTCTTTTGCTTTACACTTTCTGTTTATAGTATGCTTGTATCTGCTATGGATAGTTAAGAAAACCAAGCGACAGATCATGTAAAACACGAGACGAAGCTTATTACAATTTGCTAAAAATCGATAATGCATCCTTTATAACAGCAAATTAATTAGCTTCATTGATGTTGTCTTCCTTAATAGTTGGCAATAATTTTAACTTCCAAGCACTTGCACTCATTTGGTCTAGCTACATCTAAATTACTTATCCTATAGTCGGATATTTCTCTTTCTTGAAACAAACATATCTCTTTCATCGTCTCAGCATAACATAACCTTTAAGTCTATAATAATGCTACACTCTGTGTAATTGCTCCTGCAATACACATGTCATACACGAATTTAACAATTGCGAAAAAAGATTGATTGTATAACGAATAGTTGTGGAGATAATACCCCTCCGGTTAAGTGTCATTATTTGATGATATATTCGAACATAAAACCATTAAATTTAATAAAAATTTGTGATCTATCTCTGATAAATTTATAATTCAGATGAGTGGAACTAGGTGTACATGCATTTCTTTTGGCTTTCTAATTCATATTCCGATTCGGTTGAGAGAAAAACTAAAATACAGAAATGGTTCATTATTATCATTCCGAATCAATCACTAATTAAAGAAAGAGCAGCAGGTTGATATGATTTTTTTCCACATGCTTTTTAGACGTTAGACATGGTTCCCAGTGGCAGATTTAAGTGGGGGCCAGCCAACCCGGGTTCCCCCTAAATGTGTCAAAATTTTTTTTAAATGAGAAAAAGAAAATTATATTAAAATCTTAAGTCTGAGTGCCATTTCCAGCTATCCAGAGGTGCCATAGTACAAAATGTTCTTGCCTGAGCTCCAACCATGGGGTGAGGCTGAGGTGGTATAGACCCTCCATCTGTGAAAGTCCCTCACTGTTCCTAGTCATTTGAACGTTTTAATCGAAATATACTAATTCAAAGAGGAGGTTTCCGTGAACCAAGTTGGTGGATGGAGGCTGAATCGCCGAGGTAGCACGGTTGGATTACAGGGTCACCATATCAAAAAGTTAGAATAACAGAGCTACTTGATTGCAAAGGCCCATTGATTGCAGATATAACATTGGGAATTGGACAAAATACAATTTCAAACAACTGTTCAATCAACCTACGGAGACTTTTAACACTACAGCCAACTCCTATTAATGGGAAGGGGACTTTTTTAAGGGGTGGGGGTGAAATGAGAATGTGGAACTAAAAAATGAATGCGAACAATCCCTATTCCATAAAAACCTAATGGTCATTTTTAGTATTTTAACGGATTTAATAGAACTAATTTGCTGCCATGTTGTGTACGTCAACAAAAACGTTTCTATAATAGGCCTATGATTCTACTATAAATGGAGATTAGCGTCTAGAAATTTACATAATGTGTAACTCTATTGATTTAGATTTTTTTTACGTGAGGTTGCTAGCAATAGATTTTTTTAATTCTCTGTTACGTTTTTAATAAGTCTATATTTTTATAAGCATAGGACTAAGACTTGATCAGAGTTTGTAAACTCAAAGATTATTGAGCTTCTAGGAATTTTAGTATAAAATTTCGCATAAAAATTGCCTCGTTTGTCAAATTGAAGCGTGTGTATACGGCGCATGTGCTCAATGCTGACTGACTATAATAGAAAAGGAAAGACGCATCACTTCATAATGTTTGGCAGATACGAGGCCAATTTCATTAAGAAGCAAATTTCATAGATCACTGGTATTGGAATTGTTCCTTCCTTTTGGGAAGTAAGAAAGAAAAAAAAAAGAAAGAAAGAAAGAAAAAATGAAAAAGTTGATCGCCCAAAACGCCTCTGAGGTTATTTTCGGGCGTCTAAATCGCAGCAAATTCGAGGGGACATGCTCCCGGACCTCCTGGGGTAAAAGTTATCTCAATCGGTCCCACTGTCGCACCCCTCCCTTAGGGACATCTCTGGATCCGCTCCTGGTTCTTCAGATGTGAGAATATTATAAACTTCATGGTGTATTAATGTGTGATAAAAGCTCTATTAAGGAGACAATTTCACCTTCGGTTGTATAGAGATACTCCTATTCAGGGGACTGTATTGTAACTGAGACCGAGACTGTTTTCTGCTTTTGTGGAACAAATTCCAAGAATGCGGAACTAAATCCCTAATCCAATAAAACCTTACTGGTAATTTTTAGTATTTCACCACACTTAGCAACTAATTTGCTGCCATTGGGGTGCGTCTGCACCATTCCCCTAGCCTACGCCCATGGGATACCCATATTAAAAGCCATTTTTTTTGTCCTGAAAATATCCTGTTAATAGGGGTTCTAATATATATTAAAATATATGCATAATTTTAATTAATATCGTGTACGACAGAGTCCATCAACGAAAATGTTTCTGTAATATGAATTTACTATAACTATATCTACTGAGCTTTTTGTACAGTAATACCAATATTACCATGAATGTTGGCTATGAATACAAAAATATATAGACCTATGTTAATGCTTGCGGTAAGCCACGTAGGTAGTTCTGAAAGGAACTGTTGTTGTGCTTGAGAATACAAAAATTAATAATTTTCTGTGCATCTCATAAAAATGATATTTGGACATTTAGAAATTAAATTCGATGGTCATTAGTGTTTATTGATAGAGATTTCAATATCAATGTGTCATATATGGCTAATTAAAAGATACATCATACTCACGTATAATCCTATTTCTGTGGAACTGGGATACACAAAAAATTGTTAACAAAAGAAACCAATTAACTGTGAGCGCAATTAGCATACACAAATTGCCTCGTTTGTAAAATTGAATTTTGTGTATACAGCGCACGTGAAAGTGAATGACTATATAATTCTTATTCTTATTCTTTATTCGCCAAAAAACAAAACAAAACAAAACGAAACAAAGTACCGTACAATACAATGGTGGAATACATACAGAATACAAGTACAATAAATTGAATGAGTTGGCGGGAACACAAAAGCGAACTAAATCACTATAACACAAAGTCTGTGAACCTCAATCATCCAGTTTAACATAAATACAATATTATAAATAAAAAAGGTCAGTTATAATAAAATAAAACAAATTAACAAAAATTAATACTGAAAGAAAATTAAGTGAAATACAAAAAATAGTTATAACAAAATATGTAATCGTTGATCAGAAATCATTTTAAGTTTAAAGAAATTAAATCCAATATCATATATATATGTTATTAAATATAATTAATGAATTAAAATATTTAAACATAAAATGGTATAAATAAAATAATTCTAATGTAAAACAAACTTGTTTCCAATACTTTGTGAATTAAGAATTATTATAAAGGACAAATTGTTTAAGTTTATTGAGAAAGACAAGTCAACAAGAAAAGAGTTTTTGAGATCATCAGGGAAATCATCCCAAAGTCTGGGGAATTCATGAATAGCTAATAGGTGAAGGCAATTGGTTCTTGCACGAAGGCGTTTAAAACGCAAAACCTCTTGGTGACGGATATTGACTACAACATATTGACGAATGCTTTCACAGTCAACATAGCCACTAAGAGTTTTACACACAAATGATGCGAGTAGATATTGTCTGCGACATGACAGACGAGGCCAGACAAATTTTGATAACCGTCCGTCATACCCCATATCTCCTCGCTTTTGCTTCAATGCAAGTATTAGTATTAGTATTAGTATTTAGATACGCTATTCATAGAAAACTATATCATAGCGTTTACATCCTGCTGTACTAGCAATGCACGCGCAACAATAGTTTGGACATGATCATTCCAAGTAAGAGTGTGGTTGATAGTAATCCCAAGATGAGAATGAGTGAGAACAGATTGAATAGAAGAGCCATTGATATAGTGTGTCGGACGGTACTCTTTCTTTGATCGAGTGATGTGAAGGACTTTAGACTTGGTAGCATTTAACTGCATCTCATTTGACGTGCACCATGTGGAGTATCAAGATATGATTGAACAACAGCTTCATCATCAACAGAGTAGATCTCTTTGTGAATGATAGTATCATCAGAAAAAAGGGCACAAGATGGTAAAGAGGCAGCAAGATTAATAAATAGGTTGAAAATAACGGTCCCAACACGCTGCCTTGAGAGACTCCAGATGTAACAGGGAGTGGATTACTGATAGAACCTTGGAAAACTACTTTCTGGATTCTATCATGAACAAACGAATGTGTCCAGTCCCAAATTTGACCTCGTATGTTGAACTGAGAGGCCAGCTTATGAAGGATGATATGATGTGGAAGCTTATCAAAAGCTTTAGAGTAGTCTAGGAATATAATATCAATTCGGGGTGGTCTTGATTTGTCAAGGGACGATGCCCATCTATGGGTCAAGTTTGTTAATTGTGTGACACGGGAGCGTGATGAAAGAAAGCCATGTTGGACATCACTGGCAGTTGGTTGTAACATGCCCAAATACTTCAAAATAAATGATTTTCTAAAGTATCTTACAACATATTTGGGTAAGAGAAACTGCTCTATAATTGTTGATGCCAGATTTGAAAACTGGAGTGACATGGGACAATTTCCAGGCAGATAGTAATTTACCATTCTGTAGAGTCAAACGAAAGATATTGTAGAAAGGAGAAGTCAGTACATTAGATGCATTACGGAGTATGTAGGGATGTATAGAATCGGGACCAGGGGTTTTCCCGAATGTCAAGCTTACTCAATGCAGTCTGAACATCATTAATATCAAAATTGACAGTTGCAAGTTCAGGTATATGGAAGGAGCATGTTGGAGGTGCAGTTGGAGAAGGGGTAGGAATGTTATATAGGAATATAATGACAAAGGGAATACGCATCAACTCATAATGGTAGACCGACATTTTATAGGAGGCGAAAGCAGTAAAGTTCTTTATAGATCACTGATACGTGACATAATTTTGTTTCAGCGGTGTTCTTCGGATGTGAGAAGATGAAATGATGAAAAGGTAGTTATCCTTTTGTATTATGAAACATTTGGTGTTAAGGAATCAATTAAATAAATTACGACATATTGTCTTGAATATAAACAAACTTTTGGTTTCAACACAAGGAAATATTTATTCGAACCAACACAAATGATAGGCCTATATGTTGAACACTGTCCATTTTAGAATCTAACGTATAGATAAAGCGCTAGTATTAATTGATAAAAATCAGTGAACCTTTCCCTCATTTTACTTAGTGACTATTTCATTGTCTTTTAAGGAGTTTTAACAATTACTTAATTAGCTAGTAAAACCCTTAATCATATTAATTTGAGGATTTAGATTGGAACATTCAATAATTTCGTTCATTTGTTCCTTTTCTTGCTCAATAGTTTGTTTGTTCATCTATCCGTTCGTCCGATCGTTTGTCCACTTATTCATCCACAAAATGCGTTCATTTGTACGCTCCTCCGTTTGTCATTCACCATGTTATATGTTCATTTAAATAAGTATTGAAAACAACTTGATCGCTGTTCGTTCATTTTAATGAGTCATTGAAGTTTCCAGAACCTGGAAAGGTGCTGGAAAAGGGCGGGAATAGTGATTGGCTTGTCTGTGCACACTCATTACTTGGTACATTCTTCCCGAATTATAAATTTTAAAACTTAACTAAGAGGTTGCAGGAGAATAGATCCCCGAAAACGGTATGTGCAGTGATGTTTATTATTCCCTGTCATTCTTTCTATTGTATCACAAATCGACTTTCCTATTATTATGTTTTAGGGTATTGAGATTGGCTACCTTATTGCCTGTGTTCATTAAAAAAAAATTACGACTATTTAAATATTGAGAAAAAAAATATAAAAATATTTTTTTGTACTTAAGTTAATGACAAAAAGGGAGATATTTAGGTATAGCGAGCACCCATTTGGTGCCTGCTAAAAAAAAATCCGGTATATTTAAATATCTTGTTTACCTATATTTTAGATGAAATGCTTCTGAATACTTTTTTGATAAACTATTTTATTATGTAGTTTATTAAGGAAATCAACAAAGGTGAATTTCTACAGGCATTGTGGCTGCCTCCTTGCCCTTGTTAAATGTTCTATGTCAGGTAGGAATATTCATGTTACTACGTTTATATTACTCTTCATGAAATGTTTGTTTCTATAAAGACTTTCAAAGCTTTCGTCTACTGTAAGCTCTGTTCAAATTTTAGCTTTCTTAGGTTCAATAAATCAAAATGTATTCATATTTACTCACTAAATAAATATGAATATGTTCACCTCCAAAAGCTCATAACAAACAGCACGCCGTAACTAAATTAGTTAGCACAATTCTTGAATCTTTAGAAAATAAAAACATCTTCTTAGTATCTTTCTTGCTTTAATGCAAGCATTCGATGTTATTGACCGTCAGCTCCTTAAAAATATCTGCATATGGATAAGGGGCACTGTCGTTGATTGGATAAATCATATAATTATGCATAACAGAAAACAATACACAAATATTAAAGTGTTGGGACCCTTATTATTATTATTCTTTTTTTGTTAATGATTTACACATTATACATTACTTGCAATAAACTTAACGTTATATCCTACTCCGGCCGGTGACACAATTATATAATATACTATTACAAGGTCCTTTTTATTGGAATAAACTTCCTAATAATATCGAAGAAAAAATTTCACTGTAATTTCACTGTTCCCTGATTAGTATACCTATGCCTACACGTGATGCTGAAAATAAGAGTTTAGTGTTTATGTATGTGAATATTTTAATGACCTAAACCATTCTTCATCATTTACCGACGGGGTTCGCGATTTCATTATAAACATAACACTACTGATATACATAAAAACTATCGCGGAGCTATAATATAGATCCACGTTAGTTTTATACACTTGTTACCTCCTTGACATTGTTTCAATGACATGCATGGCTCATCATTATAACAGGAGCTTGAAGGATCATCACATTTACAACCTAGAAAAACAAGCATGAATACTACATTCACACAACAGTGTATATGAAATTATAAAGGTCTCATACAATCACATAATTAGGTAGATAATATAAGAATCACTATTAGTAACTTTCATGTGATTTACTATTATCCATTGCTTGCGAAAAAATGTGTCCTAATATAATAGAAAAATTGAAGGGTGTATAATACCACTTGGCCTCTCATAGCTCAGTTGGCAGAGTATCCGAATGGTAATCGGAAGGTCTTGTGTTCGAATCCAGATGGGACATATTTTTTAAAGAAGCAGTGCAATAGATCAAGTGGTGGCACACGCAATTTGAGTTTGCGCCTTAGAGTGAAATTTGTTAGGTTCGCTGTGTGCGTTCATAGGTTGGCCTAGCAAGAAAATATTCCATTTTGTGATGTACTGTAATAAAATCACACCAGCTTTGAACTTGTTGCACACAAGACGCAAAAATTCGGAGGCACTATCAGTCGGGATAGGCAAATTCAGTGCAAAATACGTATGTTTTATTAACGTTTTTGAAAGTGAAAACTAAATGTATATTTCTTAACTTACACTCGACATTTATGTTGCAGTGAGATCCTACAAGATTACGGTCTCCGGTAAAATAAAAGATAGGCCAATTCCCTTCTCTGCACATGATCTTATTTAAGTAGTAGTGGTAGAAGTATCCAGTTGGACAGCAATTTTCATTTCCTGAAATAGAATTTAATCTTTAATCTTGATAAATACCAGTACATTCTAAATGACAGGTGAAAAATAATATGAGCGGAACAATCATTAATATACAGTAAATGTCATTATCCTTATTACTTCTAAAATATTTAATCCATAGTTGTTGAGAAGATACCCTCAATATGAGGGAGAGAAATAAAAAAAAACAAAAACAAAAACAAAAACCTCAAAAGCTACATTCAAAACCCCGCAAGCCGATGGGTTATTGGTCCCAAGAGTAAAGACAGGCAACGAACCGAAGAGAACCAGGTATTGAGCAACCTGGTAATATATGGGATTGGTGAAATCTTTTATCTTTTGCAGGGGCGGATCCAGTGGGGGTTGGGAAACAGGGNNNGCCCCGCCCCCCCCCCCCCCCCCACGTCAGTTCTGCCGGAAAATAGAAAAGAGGAAGACAAAATTGAGAAGAGTTAAAGGGAGGGAAGAGGTAAAAAAGAAATGTATCCATGGGTTCAGTCGCCAACTTAGCCGGGGCTAAAGGAGAGCTCGATTATTTTACCACTCACTAACTCTAAATTTTCTATTGATTGACGACAAACAATGCTATATCCCCGACGTCGATTTTTTTTATCAACGATTTCATAAATCAGGATGTAAAAATGCAAAATGGAGACCGCAGACAGGGTTTTTAGCCATTATTAATGTAGTACCCTGATAGAACGACAGTTATACTCAGTGGCGTAACGCCTATGCACAGGGCCACTGACCGTTAGGGGCCCCTTCGGTTCCCCTACCCAGGGTCCTAGTCGTTCTATACCATCCTGATCTAAAAGGGCTTTGTTGATACATAACAGCATAATGTGTCTCTGACATCGACTGTAGGACATACATCATATCAATCCAGTGGGGATGGGATGCCCAGCCGGCCAGGACCCCCTACATTTGTCAATTATTTTTTTGGAAATCGAGATAAAATATTCAAATGTTACGTTTGAATGAGAGCCATTGCCGGGCATCAAGAGGTTCCTGGAATTTGCTTTGCGACTCCCTCTACAGAATACTCTATATATTAGGTCATTGATTAGAGATTTGTGTGAGAGGACCGTGAGGGGAGGGTTGTCTAAGGAGGGGGAACATAGCACCCGTCGGGAAAATGTCAATAATCTTGTCGAGGAGGAACACTGCTTTGAAAAAGCATTTTTACCATCTGAGAGTCCCATTTCCGAGCGTCTAGAGGGGCCTATTCTTAAAATTTGCTCACCTCAGACCCAACCATGGTGGGGAGAAGGTGGGTGTTGATTACCTATTGCATCCCCCACTCCTGTCAGAAAACGTCTGGATCCGTCCCTGGTACTGTACGGCAACGTTGTGAGATGAAAAGTGAATTATGTCAAGTTTCTGTTGTTAGGATATGAAGGGGGAAGCTTGTATTGAAGCAATGATTTACCGAAATAACATACCAGAATTTCACGTCTAGATTTAAGTGTCATGATGTAGGCCTAGGTGATTTTTAGAGCTTGAAAACAGGACCATTGTTGATTTGAAATGTGAGATTTACCCAGAATGGGTGACTCAGGGTGTTATTTTAGTTTGAAAATCTCAGAAAACTACCTTTGCCAGTTTAAACATTCTATTACAGTCCTAAAGACCTTTCTTTGAGTTGCGTAAAACGCTGTATTAGTATACCTAGGATACATGTGTTGCTGAAAATAAGAGATTAGTGTTTATGTATGTGGATATATATTTTATTAACCTAAACCAATTTTCATCATTTACCGACGGGGTTCGCGATTTTATTATAAACATAATACTACTGATACACATACAAACTATCGCGGAGCTATAATAGGTCCACGTTAGTTTGATTCACTTGTTACCTCCTTGACATTGTTTCAATGACATGCATGGCTCATCATTATAACAGGAGCTTAAAGGATCATCACATTTACAACCTAGAAAAACAAGCATGAATACTACATTCACACAACAGTGTATATGAAATTATAAAGGTCTCATACAATCACATAATTACGTAGATAATATAAGAATCACTATTAGTAACTTTCATGTGATTTACTATTATCCATTGCTTGCGAAAAAACGTGTCCTAATATAATAGGAAAATTGAAGGGTGTATAATACCACTTGGCCTCTCATAGCTCAGTTGGCAGAGTATCCGAATGGTAATCGGAAGGTCTTGTGTTCGAATCCAGATGGGACATATTCTTAAAGTAGCAGTGCAATAGATCAAGTGGTGGCACACGCCATTTGAGTTGCGCCTTAGAGTGAAATTTGTTAGGTTCGCTGTGTGCGTTCATAGGTTGGCCTAGCAACAAAATATTCCATTTTGTGATGTACTGTAATAACATCACACCAGCTTTGAACTTGTTGCACACAAGACGCAAAAATTCGGAGGCACTATCAGTCGGGATAGGCAAATTCAGTGCAAAATACATGTTTTATTAACGTTTTCGAAAGTGAAAACTAAATGTATATTTCTTAACTTACACTCGGCATTTATGTTGCAGTGAGATCCTACAAGATTACGGTTTCCGGTAAAATAAAAGATAGGCCAATTCCCTTCTCTGCACATGACCTTATTTAAGTAGTAGTGGTAGAAGTATCCAGTTGGACAGCAATTGTTATTTCCTGAAATAGAATTTAATCTTTAATCTTGATAAATACCAGTACATTCTAAATGACAGGTGAAAAATAATATGAGCGGAACAATCATTAATATACAATAAATGTCATTATCCTATTAATACTTCTAAAATATTTAATCCATCGTTTGGTAATCTGCTAAAAGTCAAATGATTGCAAAAACAAATTCAATAATATTTAAAGTTGTTCAGAAAATACCCTCAATATGAGGAAGAGAAATACAAAAAAAAAACATCAAAAGCTACATTCAAAACTCCGCAAGTCGATGGGTTATTGGTCCCAAGAGTAAAACAGGCGACGAACCGGGGAGGATCAGGTATTGAGCAATCTGGTAATATATGGGATTGGTAAAAGCTGGTATCTTTTGCAGGGGGGATCCAGGGGGGGGGGAACTGGGCCCCCACGTCAGTTCCGCCGAAAAATAGAAAAGAGGCAGACAAAATTGAGAAGAGTTAAAGGGAGGAAAGAGGTAAAAAATAAGTGTACCCATGGGTTCAGTGACGGACCTAGCAGATGGCTAAAAGAAAGTTCGATTATTTTACCACTCACTAACTCTAAATTTTCTATTGATTATGACGAACACAATGCTATATTCCCAACGTCGATTTTTTTTTTCAACGATTTCATAAATAAGGATGTAAAAAAATGACAAACGGAGACCTAAGACGGGGTTTTTTTTAGCCATTATTAATTTAGTACCCTGCTAGAACGAAAGCTATACTCAGTGGCGTACCGCCTATGCACAGGGCCACCGACCCTTCGTGGTCCCTTCGGTGCCCCTAACTAGGGTCCTAGTCGCTCTATACCACCCTGATCTAAAAGGGCTTTGTTGATATACATAACAGCATAATGTGTCTCAGACATGTCTTTGACTGTAGGACATACGTCATATCAATCCAGTGTGAATGGGATGCCCAGCTAGCCAGGACCCCCTACATTGTCAATTATTATTTTTTTAAATGGAGATAAAATATTCAAATTTTAAGTTTGAATGAGTGCCATTTCCGGGCATCAAGAGGTGCCCGGAATTTGCTTTGCGGCTCCCAGTACAGAATACTCTATACAGTAGGTCCTTGATTAGACATTTGTGGGAGAGGACCGTGAGGGGAGGGTTGTCTAAGGTGGGGGAACATAGCACCTATCGGGAAGAAGTCAGTAATTTTGTGGAGGAGGAACATTGCTTTGAAAAAGCATTTTTACCATCTGAGATTTCCATGATTTCCGAGCATATAGAGGGGCCTATTCTCAAAATTTGCTCACCTCAGACCCAACCATGGTGGGGCGGAGGTGGGTGATTACCTATTTCCCCCCATCCCCGTCAGAAAAGTTATGGATCCGCCTCTGGGTAGGCCTATTGCACGGCAACGTTGTGAGGTGAAGAGTGAATTATGTCAAGTTTCTGTTGTTAGGATTTGAAGGAGGAAGCATGTAGCGATGTCTTTGTGATTGAAGCAATGACTTACCGAAATTTCATACCAGAATTTCACGTCTACACTTAAGTGTTATGATATTGGTGATTTTTAGATCTTCAGTATGGGACCATTGTTGATTTGAGATGTGAGTTTTACCTAGAATAATCCTGACTGCTTTTTTCTGGATCCTATCTAATTTGTCGCACTGCATAACTCTAAGAGACGAATTCCACACCGGGCAACAGTACTAAAGGATCGGCCGTATATAACAAGTATAAACTTTAACCATGTCACTGACAGAAGCTCCGCTTTTTTTCAAAAGACTGAGTGAGAATAAACGCCGAGAGGCTTTATTGCAAATTTCACTCACATGATTTATTCGTGACATTAACACCCAGAAGTTTAAGGCTATCAACATGGGAAATTATATTATCACTAATAACGATTGAATAACAATGGGTTTCGTAAGGAAACCCTTTTTAGTTCCTATGCATGTAATGCAATAGGAACTATTGTAATCACTCTTGCTATTTCCTATGTTTTTTATTGTGTGTAGTGTGTATGTGTGTGTGTAGACATTTATGCAAATGCGCATGCGTCAAAGAAAAGTTTTCCGACATTTTGTTTAAAGATGTGTATAAGAGACAGACCTAGAAGTCCCATTTTTTATTTTTTAAATCTCGTTTTGGAGGAGGGGACACCCCCTCCTATACCCAACCCTGGCTCTGGCCTTCCGCCCTCAGATAACGCTGCACCCTATAGCAGATGAACACCCATAAAAACTTAGCTCCCCAGTCGGACATCTTAGCCCCACCCCTCATAAATTATATCCTTGAGCCACCACTGCAATAGATGTGAAATGTTTATTAAATTCATTTGCAGTTTCCTCATCACTGCTAGACAGTTCACCATTTTTGTAAACTCTTTCAATATTGGGTTTGTTTTTGAGAATTAATTCGCGAATAGTTTTCTAATTATTTTTTGTATTATTAATATTATTATTTATAGCAGATGAACAGTGTTTTCTTTTTATAAAGGTTTCTATTAATTGTTAAGCTTTTTCCTAGCCTTCGTGGCTATTTGTTTTGTGAGCTTTATTGTAGTGATTATCCCTATCTTTAGCTGAGTCTGAGAAAATCACTCGTCATCACCATAAGGCGTTTACAATATTTCTATTACCGGTATATCAGGGTGTATATACCTGTCTCTTATACACATCTAGATGTGTATAAGAGACAGGATGTAATAACGATCAATAAAAGCTAA